AATGTGTAAAATGCTCTTCCCAGCTATCACTATATACAATAAGATCATCAATATAAGCATAACAACAGTCTAAATCTTTTATAACATTATTGATCATTCCTTGAAATGTAGCTGGAGCACTTTTCATACCAAACGGCATGACAGTATACTGAAATAAGCCGTCTGGTGTTACAAAAGCTGATATTTCATGAGCTCTCTGTGTCAATGGTACTTGCCAGTAACCTTTCAATAAATCAAATTTGTTCACAAATTTTGCTTGACCAATGTTGTCAATACAATCGTCTATCCTTGGAATCGGATAGGAATCAGATTTTGAACCTGAATTTACTTTTCTGAAATCAGTTACAAAACAAAAGGTTTTATCTGGTTTGGGCACAAGGAGACAAGGAGAGCTCCATTCACTGTTACTCGGCTCAATAATATCATTGTCAAGCATATATTTAATTTCTTGTCTCATAAATTCAAGTTTGAGTGGATTGAGCCGGTAAGGATGTTGCTTAATTGGAGAAGCATCGCCTACATCAACATCATGACAAACAACAGCGGTTTTGTTTGGCACATATGGAAAAAGATTTAAAAAAAAAAATACCAAAGTTTTTAATTTTTCCTTACGACTAAAAGTCAGATGTGCAAGTTCTGAGTCTATAAATTTGACAAAATTTCTGAAATTTCCAATCTAACAGTTTGTTCCATAGTCTTTGAATCAAAAGATGGTTCAATTATATCTGGTTTGTCGTGATTGTTCTCCAATTTAACCATGGCTAAAGTGGCAACTGGTTTACTCTCATCTTCATTAGCACGATCAAAATATGGTTCTAACATATTAATATGACACACACTATTTTGTTTACGCCGACCTGGTGTTTTTACAATATAATTCAAATCATTAATTTTACTCTCTATGGTATAAGGACCACATTATTTGGCCTGTAAATGATGTCCAGGGACTGGCGAAAATACAAGTACCTTATCACCCTGCTCAGAAACTCTGTCCCTGGCATCTTTATCATACCATATTTTCATCTTATTCTGAACAGTTTTTAAATTTTTCTGAGCAATTTGGCAAGCAGTTTACAATTTTTCTTTCAATCTAGATACATAGTCTAGAAGATTCAAGTCAGTGTGTTCCGTAAGCCATTTTTCCTTAACCAATTTCAAAGGTCCCCTTACAGTATGACCAAACACCAACTCAAAGAGACTAAAACCAAGGGATTCTTGAACAGTCTCACGGACCACAAAAAGTAGAAAGTGAACTTCATTATCCCAGTCTCTGTCAAATTGAAGACAAAAAGTTCTAATCATGATCTTCAATGTTGGATGAAAACATTCTAAGGTACCTTGAGATTCTGGATGATAAGCACTTGATATATACTGAGCCATCCCTAACTGGTACACGACTTGCTGAAATAAACCTGACATGAAGTTTGAACCCTGGTCGGACTGGATAGACTTAGGAAGTCCTACTAACCTGAAAAATTTGATAAGAGCTTTGACAGTAGTTGGTGTCTTGATATTCATTAACGGAATAGCCTCAGGAAAGCGAGTAGATGTACACAAGATCGTCAATAAATATGCATTTCCAGTTTTGGTCTTTGGTAAAGGTCCAACGCAGCCAATTAGTACTCTGCTGAAAGGTTCTTCAAAGGCTGGAATTGGCAGAACTGGTTCTGGTGGTATTTTCTGGTTAGGCTTACCAACAACCTGGCATATATGGCATGATTTGCAGTATTCTGCGACATCATTTCTAAGTCTGGGCCAGTAGAAATGATGCAAGATCTTAAGGCAAGTCTTCCTTATACCTAAGTGTCCAGACTCCAGCCAAGGCGGTGTCATGGGCAAGACCAATAATTTCTTGCCTATAAACTTTAGGCACCACCACTTGGTATACCACTCTCCATTCCTCCTCTGGGGTAGCATCAGGGGGCCTCCACTTCCTCATCAAAATGCTGTCTTGATGGTAGTAGCATTCGGCCACTTTGTCTGCATCCTCCTGTGGTTGAGCCCTCTTGCGGAGCTGAAGTACCTCAAATCTTTATTTTGTTCTTCAACAAATTTCCTTCTGTCTAATGAATGGCTGTTAACATCTGGTCATGGCATAATTACATTCGTGTTAGTACTAGGTGGTCTTACTACGGCCTTTTCTGAGCTACCGGGACCTTCAATGTCAGCAAGGAAAGTGTCAGAAAGGTCCATGTAATCAAACTGGTCTTCTTGTATATCCTCATTTTGTTGTTTTCTTGCCATCGCCCTAGTAACAACACAAGCTGGATACAGTTCAGCATAATCTTTGGGTGATTTAACATCCACCACCGGTTCACTGGTAACAATTGGTTCAGCAACCACTTTGTTTAAAGCTAGATCATTTCCTAGCAATAAAGAAACACCCTCAACGGAGAGATTAGGACGAACACCCACAACAACTGGTCCAGTAATCAAATCTGACTTCAGATAAATACGATGGAGGGGAACATCTATACAACCTAACTCCACACCTTGTAACAAAACGGAGGCACCAACAGAAGTCTCTTCAGACAAAGGCAACACACCTTCTAACAATAAAGTCTGAGAAGCTCCAGTGTCTCGTAAAATCTTAATATGCTGAGGAGATGTATTATCAACAATAGAAACAAACCCATCAGTCATAAAGGGTTTATAATCTTCCATGTAATCACAAAAACTGGATTTAAAAGCCTGACTCGCAGGACATTCCAACATATTGGTAATAAGGTGTATCGTACAAGCACTGGACTTGGGTTTATTATCTCTTTCATTCTTCTTCTGGAGTCTAAAACAATCAGCCATCAAATGACCACTTTTCTTATAATAAGCACAAGTTAGTGACGTCTTCCTAAAAGTATCAAATTTCGGACTAGACATATTATAACTAGACTGACTCTTATTCTGTGCAACAGGCTTACTATCAGTACGCTCAGTACTTTGATTTTTGTAATTTCCGCTCGAAGTATTAAAATTTTGACTTTTGAAATTTCTTTTATGTGAAATGGTATAATTATCGGAAATAACAGCTGCATCTTGTAATGTTTAACAGTTTTGTCATCTAAATGTGTTTTTTAAGTCTAAATGAACACACTGCTTGAACTCTTGTAATGACATCAATTGTCTTATTTTATCAAAATTGTTATCTATTTTCTTTGACGTAAGCCATTTATCAAATAGATCTTCTTTTTCCCTAGCAAATTCAACATAGGTTTGTGAATCAAACTTTTTATAAGACCTAAATTTCCGTCTATATGCTTCTGGCACTACCTCATAAGCTTTCAAAACTGCCTGTTTTACCATGTCATAATCAGAACTTCTTTCTGATGAAAGTGCCTTGCCTTCAAAAACACTTTGCAGCATTGTAGTCCAATAAGGCTTTGGCCATTTCAAATTTTGAGCAATTTTTTCGAACTGTGGAAAATATTTATCAACTGTTTTTTTCACAAAATCTAGGAACCAAACGTATATTTTTTGCTGCATCAAAATGAAATAATTTTGACACTACATTAGTGTTGTTTTCTACTTTATTGTCCATTTCAATTTTCATTTTCTCCATCTCTAACCTTTCCCTCATTTCAAGTTCTGCCTGTTTTAATTTGAATTCATCTTCCTTTTCTTTCATCTTCTCCATCTCTAACCTTTCCTTCATTTCAAGTTCTGCCTGTCTTACTTCTTTTTCTTTTTCCAATTGTTTTATTTCAACTTCGTTTTCCAATTGTTTTTCCATTTGTTTTAATTGAAATTCATCTTTCTTTTCTAATTATTTTAATCTAATTTCATGTTCTAATTCAAGCTGTTTTAATTTGATAGCATCAACATTTTCGACCTTAAGTTCAAGAGCCTCTTCACCAAAAATTTCTGCGTCAACTAAATTGTCTATTACCAAATTTTTTATAATTTGTTTTCTCATAGATGCTCTAAAATCTATTTGTAAATGTTTCTCAAGCAACACTAATTCGTCTTTCTTTAGTTTATCAAACCCTTTCAGGTCTGGCGTTTTCAAAAATTTACCAGCATCAAATGCCATTTTGTCGAATTTTGTTGGCTAATTCTAATTCTATAAATACAGAAAAATTTAATCTGATATTAACGTTCTCCCGGACGAGTCCCCAATTTCTGTTACGGCCAGAAATCACCTTCAAATTGTAGCCAACAAAAGACACAAATCAATAATAAAATTTAACAAGATTTATTATACACAAGTTTACAAGAAGGATTACACAAATAGAATTGTCAACTTAACTGTCAAAATATATGTCCGATCTTTATCTGGAATTCTTCTCTTCACTGTTGCGGGAATCCAAACAGAATATTATGTCCAATTAGTCACAAGTCACAATCTAGTATGATGTAGTTAACGTGAATAAAAGTATCAATCCAACTGAGAGAACTTATGAGAATATTAATGTCTATGTCTGAAAGTTTAACTTTAGTGTATGTATATATATATAGTCACGGAAACTTCTAGAACACTGTAGAAAGGAAACTCCTAGAAAAGTATAGAACGGAAATTTCTAGAACAATATTGACGTTTTTAATTACGCATCGTTTATTCTGATCATTCTGGAATCGTTATGTAAGTAAAATAGAAAGTTCTAATCATTCCTTGATTGTTACAGTGATTTCTGAACTGCACAGTTATAAGATTATTTTGTAAACAACTACAATGCCACACAAAACAAATTAGGCCAAGATAAATAAATATAATAATTACAATATCATAACAACTTAAACATGTGTTAAAGAGTGTAACAAAATCCTCATACTAACCAATAAAATACTAGAATTTTAAACATGGAGTTTAATAAAATTGGTTATAGAATTTGAAAGTCATTATAAGGTTGAATTAACTAAGTGTCTCAAACTAATTTTAAAAAAATGCATAAATTGATCATCAGAATTTCACTAATATTCATCAAAAGAGTCTGTTAAAACTGTCTCATGCGACCTTATTTTACTAAATATATAAAAGTTAGAAAAACTATTTGCCATCTTTTTACCTGTTTTGAAAGTTCTTGTGCTCTCCTTTGATTAGTTATATTTTCTTTTGCTGGAATTGTTATCAGAGCAAAGTTTTTTTCAGCTGTGACCTGAATTTTTGACACAGGAGTGGATGTAATTAGACCCCCTTGTGTTGCCATGGTAACAGGAGCTGTTAATCCTCCTTCCATCCTAGGTCCACCAAGTGGTATTGCCATTGGAATAAGACTTCCAGGAATAGGCCCTACAAAGAAAGGATGTTGGTTCTTTATACATTGTTGTACAAATTTGATTAACATATTCACAGCAGAAATTTCGAAATTAATCGGTCTTTGGAGGTTAAGAACTTCAGTTTTCCCCCTAATAAACAAATAAGTCATATATTGTTCAATAAAATAGATCTCATGATTCCCATCACTATTTTACTCTCTTGCAAGTTGCCAATTCAATTTAGATTGTCAAACAGCTCACGAAACAAGATTTCTGCTATTATCATTTTCATTTATCTCTGGGACTGAAATTCTAAAATTATACAGAAAATTAATCCTTCATTGCACTTTGCAAATCTAAAATTTAAGTATGCTGATGTGTGATAACAATAATAGTAATAACAACTAAAACCCAATTGTTCAGATTTTAAAGTGATTGATAAGAAAGATAAAAAGGTAAAAACAAACACTAAAGGTATGAGAAAACAGGTAGCCTAAACACTGATACCAAAACAATATATGGTTTCTAAGTACTTTCAATTGAAACAAGGTAACTCGTTAGCTACTTCTGGTTTAGAAATTTCAATTCTGATGTCATATGAAAGCATATTTTAGACTGATCTGAAATACATACGGTTGCAAGGGACTTTTCTGTGAAATAAAAGACATAATCTGCCACTTCCGGTTTACAGAAAATCACTACCAGTGTCATAGCTCACTTTACACGTCTTTATAAAAAAAAAATGGAGAACGTGTCCCCATGGACACAGATGATGCCCCCGCTTGCATACAACATAATAAAGGGACATAACTAAAGAACGATAAAAGTGACGCTACCTAAATTTGTACTCGATCTGAGTTTCAAGGTAATGAGTATTGTGTATATGTATCATAATGTTTGGTTGGGGCAAACTTTAGTTACAGAACGGAAACTTAATATTTTGCAATTTTTCGATTTATAAAGGGACATAACTCGATAATGATTTAAGTGACGCTACCAAAATTCAACTTGATCTGTGTTTTGTGGTAAAAAGCATTGTGTATAAGTTTCATAACATTTGGTTGAGGCAACTTAAGTTAGAGAACGGAAACTAAAAATTTTGCATTTTTTTCCATTTATAAAGGGGCTAACTCGAGAATGATTGAATTGACCCCACCAAAATTCAAACTTGATCTTTATTTTGTGGTAATAAGCACTGTGTATATGTTTCATAACATTTGGTTGAGGCAAACTTAAGTTAGAGAACGGAAACTAAAAATTTTGCAATTTTTCCATTTATAAAGGGGCATAACTCTAGAACAGTTTAAGTGACGCCACCAAAATTCAAACTTGATCTGTGTTTTGTGGTAATAAGCATTATGTATAAGTTTCATAACATTTGGTTGAGGCAAACTTAAGTTACAGAACGGACACTAAAAATTTTGTAATTTTTCCATTTATAAAGGGGCATAACTCTAGAACGGTTAGAGTGACCCAACCAAAATTCAAACTTGATCTGTATTTGGTGGTAATAAGCATTGTGTATAAGTTTCATAACATTTGGTTGAGGCAAACTTAAGTTAGAAAATGGAAACCAACTTTGGGACGTACGTACGGACGGACGTACATACATACAAGGGTAAAACTTAATACCCCCTCCGCTATGGCGGGGGCATAAAACCCTTGATCAGCAAAATTTAATAGTAATATCTAAATATAAATTCCTTCATCAGCATTTAATATAAGTTCTAAAAATAAATTGACAGCTAATCACCTCAAAAGAATACAACATTTCTTTATAACAAAACCATTGAGAATTTAGAATTGGTTATAGGAATTGAATTCATACTCAATTTTTTGCTTTTGTGCAATACACTATGCTGTTGTGAATTGCCCCCTCCCAAAATTAAAAAAATTACCCCCCCTTTTTATTTGATTTTGTGCAATACACTATTGCATATTGACCCCCCTTCAAAATAAAAAAAAAAAATTTTTTACCCCCCCCCCCCTCTTTTTTTTTGGCAAAAAAAATTAAATATGAAGAAATTTTCTTTTTAATTTCTGAAATCTGAAATGAGAAAAAATTGTCCCCCTCCTACAATTTCTTTTTTTGTCCTCCCCCACCCTTTTGCCAAACAACCCCCCCAAAACAAAAAAAAACAAAAAAATGTATCCCCCCTTTTTTTGGCAAAAAAAAATAAATAAAATAAATGAAGAAATTTTCTTTTTAATTTCTAAAATCTGAAATGAGAAAAAATTGTCCCCCGCCCAAAATTTCTTTTTTACCCCCCCCCCCCCCCCCCCTTTTTTCACCTCCCCCACCCTTTTTCCAAACAAAAAACAAGATATGGTCATAACCTCAATTCAAATTTCCATTGGAGTTTGCAACCATAATTACCAATTTAAATACATCATAAAAGTCTTAAAATAGAAAATGACATACATAACCATGGCTAAAATCAATATTCCTTAATCATCATAAATTTTATAGTAACTTCTTAAAGTAAATTGACAGCTAATCACCTCAAGACAATACAACATTCCTTTATACATAATTTAAAACATTGTTTGTGTTTGGATTACCTCCCTTACACTGCTTTTAAATTGTCTTAATTGTACATTAACCAGGAAACTCTTGTTTTCCCCCCTTTTTGCCCCTAATTCCTAAACGGTTTGAGCCATAACCCCCCAAAGCCAATCCTAACCATCCCTTTGTGGTATAGAAACTTGTGTATAATTTCAGAGAGATCCATACACTTAAACACAAGTTATTGTCTGGAAACTAAATAGATGCTTATTTGGTCCTCTTTTTGGCCCCTTATTCCTAAACTGTTAGGACCATAACCCCCAAAATCAATCCCAACCTTCCTTTTGTGGTTATGAACCTTGTGTTTAAATTTCATAGATTTCTATTTACTTACACTAAAGTTATTGTCCAGAAACCAATTGTCTTCGGACGACGACGACGTGATACCAATATAGGATGCGTGGATATGAAGGAACCGAACAAGGCTATTTTGAGTTCACATCATATTACACCAACACTTGATGATATGATTTTGGATTTAAACGGATCTAAAGTATTTTCGACAAGAGACTGTCAGAGTGACAGCAAACCGGAATTCCTGCAGAGGTCAAACCCTGAACAGTTGAGCCAGTATGGACACTTCATTTAAGCTTAAAAAAGCTCTGAATTTGGATTGTGACTGAATATTTGACACAGCATAGGTTTGTGACACAAAATGAATGTGGTCAAAGAACTGAAATATTTGAAATTGGACATTTACCTTTTATGGTCCAATATCCAAAATCTAAGTACATATTAGAATCAGCAAACCTCAATGTGGACCAATTTGATAAAGGAGCCAACAATCCAAAATCTCTCAATACATGGTTAGATTCAGCATTTCAAAGAATGCCATAAATTCCAATTTTTAATCGGATTTTCGAAGGAAAAATTGGTTATTAAAATGGGGATGTACGGCGGGAGGCTGGGCAGCTGCCAAACAGTGTCTCCACAATAACATGAAAACGCTTTAACAAATTTTTTTCAAATTTAAATATGTTGTTTCCTGGAACTTAATGAAGGTCTAGTTCAATTTTCAAGATTTTAGTATTTCTCCTTTTTGAGTTATCGCCATTTTTAATATCCAAAAGTGGAATTTTTAAATATTTATCTCTTGTTATCATGTTATGACTTGTCTTATCTCACAATAAAAATTGGAGTGACAGATTTATTTGAAAATTTTCTATTTCCTAAGTGGTGATGATTATAAGCTATATTATTAGACATTTTGAAGTTAATTACATTATTAATTATTAATTAGATCTGGGTTATATCTTATCATATGTTAATCATTGGAGTGACAGATTTATTTAAAAATTTTCTGTTTCCTAATAAGATCTGTAGGACTGTATATATAAAGTATGAAATTTACTAGTAGGACTGTATAAATGAAGTTTGAAATTTACTGTTCACTATAAGACATTTTGTAGATAATTAAGTCTCCCTAAACCATATATATTCTTACCCCCACACCCCTTTAATTTGAGAATGTGCTTTTATCTTGTAAACGGTCGAGATCCTAACTCCTAAACCATATATATTCTTGTATGGGACAATAAAACAAATCAAATGAAATATTGGGGGGAGTCCCCTGGTTCATCCCACCCCCCTTCTTTTTGAAAACTTGTGAACGGTCAAGATCCCCACCCTATATATTCTTGTATGGGACAAAAAAACAAATCAAATGAAATAGAAGGCAAGTCCCCTGGGGTCACCCCCACCCCCCCCCTCCCGTTTGAGAACTTGTAAACGGTCAAGATCCCCACCCCTAAACCATATATATTCTTGTATGGGACAATAAAACAAATCAAATGAAATATAAGGCGAGTCCCCTGAGGGTCACCCCCATCCCCTTTTCTTGAAAACTTGAAAACGGTCAAGATCCGCACCCCAAAACCATATATATTCTTGTATGAGACAATAAAACAAATCAAATTAAATATAAGGCGAGTCCCCTGGGGTCACCCCCACCCCCTCCTGTTTGAGAACTTGAAAACGGTCGAGATCCCCACCCCTAAACCATATATATTCTTGTATGGGACAACAACACAATTCAAATGAACTATAGGGGAAGTCCAGGGGGGTCACCCCCACCCCCTTCTTTTTGAAAACTTGTAAATGGTCAAGATCCCCACCCCTAAACCATATATATTCTTGTATGGGACAATAAAATCAAATCAAATGAAATATAGGGGAAGTCCCCTGGGGTAACCCCTACCCCCCTTCTTTTTGAAAACTTGTAAATGGTTAAGATCCCCATCCCGAAACCATATATATTCTTGTATGGGACAATAAAACAAATCAAATGAAATATAGGGCCAGTACCCTGGGGTCACCCCCACCCCCCTCCTGTTTGAGAACATGTAAACCATCAAGATCCCCACCCCCTAAACCATATATATTCTAGTATGGGACAATAAAACAAATCAAATGAAATATAGGGGAAGTCCATGGGGGTAAACCCCATCGCCCTTCTTTTTGATAACTTG